ACCGCGTCCTTTCACCGCGCCCGCGCTTCCTCGGCGCCCCCGCTGGAGGGAGCCAGGCTGCAAGGATCGGGGCTGCAGCGGGCAACGCTCACCTGGGGGTGCGGGGTTGGCGTCCCCGTCCGCGGGCCCTGCTTGACAATCTTCTCAACGCATCACTTGTAGGTACACTGGACACTATTTTATAACCACTTTACTCTACTCGTTTTTCCTGGGTTGCTTTGGAGTGGATCGGTTCTGTCTGGGCCACACGGGGACGGCCGTGGGAAAGCTGCTGACGCTCGGAGGACTTGGCATCTGGTGGTTTGTTGACCTGATTCTTCTCATTACTGGTGGGCTGATGCCTAGTGATGGCAGCAACTGGTGCACAGTTTATTGACAGGAGCGAAGGCAACTTCTGAGAGCTGATCCCAAAGGAAGCAAAGTGTCTCTGCAGGACTGGAGACAGACTTCTGCATCTGTTCTGTAGCATCGGTACAGACTTCTCTTGGGGGCTTCTACCATATACAAATATGGATTTACAAAGCTGTATATTAATTTGCAGAGCAATTATTCTTGCTAACTCTTCTGTGCGTATCTTGGATTTAATTTACCTATTGAACATTTCTGTGCATCTTACTTGCTTAAAATAATCGGGAATTTTTCCCCTTCAGCGGGTAACACTGTAAAAATTAGACCTTGCAACCACAAATAAATCTTAAAGTGTGGAAAGAGAGCTGTTACTGAACTTAGTTTCTGTAATGGTTTGAGCATATGACTTCACGTATTTTCAATATTAGACTTCATGCAGCTAAATAAGAGATGCAGTTGGAGGTGGAAGGCAGGCCACTAGCCTGTGGTTTTGTGTTACTAGACTAAACAAACCTTTAAAAAGGTCTGTAACTTAACAGTGTTATAGAGCCTCTGTGGCAAAATGATAAGCTCTAATTCTAAGTCGTTTGCTTAAGATGATATTCACTAGCTCCACTGAAAGCAGGGAAGCTGGATTAGATTGTTTAGTATAGGCTGCATCCTTTTGGAGAACAAATGTCCACTCTTTCCAGGCTGGCACAGCGCAGCAAATAAAGCAGCAACTCCAGCTTCATGAAGGAAGCGCTGGTTTCCATTTGTTATCTTCCGCAGCATGGTAGTGTTCTGAAAGCATTATCGGCAGACATTGCAACTATTCCAAAGTTGTACATGGGCCATGTTAAAATTACATGTTCTTCTTCCTGTCCTTTTCCCTCCATAGCTAAGGGCATTTCGTGTGGTTCTATCTGCAGAGCCAGCATGTAACTAATAGGTCACAGAGCCTGAGCTGAGGGACCACAGAGAGACTGCAGCAGAGATTAGACATGTGATAGTAACTATTTGAAAGGTAGCCATTAAAAGTGTGTAGAAAGGCAAAATAGAAGTGTTTGATGGCATAAAAGGGACTTATTACTCTCTAATACACCTTGTAAAATTCATAATCCCTACGTAAGACAGCTGCTGTTGATGCTCGATGCTACTGTACACCAGCTATTTCTCTGCTTATATGCTTGAGGTGAAATGTTTTTCCAACTTGCTGTCATTTCTCATGTTGCTTCGTTCTTTGGATAGTTATGAAGAGGTATGATATGAGGTTTGTACTCACTGCTTTCTGAAAATTAGGGTCTATTAACTCTTTGCTGTTGTAGTAGTGAAAAATTTAAGTTTAAGATTGAATATTTAACTGTCTTAAGTCCAACTTAGCTGAGTGAAAATAGTTCTACTGAAAGAAGGCTCTTCATCAATTTCATCTGGAATTACAGTCAAGAAGGTATCTGTCTTTCCTTGGCAAACCACAACTGAAAGGACCTTACTTTTTTTTAATGGCTTCACTTGCATCCTCAGTGGAAATGACTGTTTTCCCATTAATGGCAATAATTGCATCACCGTCTCTCATACCAGTACTGTAATGAAACCAGAGACTTTGTAACAGATAAGGGAAAATCTTCCACTTCTGCACAGCTAAAACCAATACTTTCTACAGCCACAGTGTGGCAGTTTCACAGTGACCTACTGGGTACAGTTGTAATTGAATCATCTAAACTAAGTTATAGTAATTGTAAGTTGATCCTCAGGAATTGCAAGATTCCTGATCGTGCAAGCCTTAGCTACATTTGAAATCTATTTTGATGATCTTTGCTTAGATAACATTTGTTTTTCAAAAGGTATTTCATCATAATGCCTGTGGCAGCAGGCTGTATCCCTTTTCACTGCTGTTGGATATTCATGTTCTCTAAAACTCAGGAGCGTTCAGCGACAGCCGTTTGTGTTTTACAATTATTCTATCAGCTAGCTTTACTTGCATACTTTGGTAACGTTCTTAGATGAAGCAGATCAACTCAGCACCTGAAGAGCTGGGAATATTGCACATCTTTATGTCAGTGACAAGATTACTCCTGATGCGTAAGCTTCTGCCCCAGTTAATTGACGGCAAATACACAAAAGTGCCAAATGCAAGCTTTGCCTCATTAGTGATGGAAGGCTTTAGTTCCACCCATGAGCTGCAGGGAATGGACAGAAGCCATCAAAGGGCTGGGAAGGGGGTAGATTTGGAGAAGGGTAAATCGCAAAGAGTAAATCACACATCTCATACGTCCACATGCTAGTCAGCCCTCTGCACAGAGCATTGTTTCAGAGTACAATATACAACGCACGCGGTACAGAAATGAGTAGAAGTTTCAAGCAGCCACATATACAAAAGAGGAAGCCCTACCAGATGCAGTTTGAAAACTCAGTGAGTTGAATAAAAATGGGAAAAGGAAGCTACAGTAAGTCACGCAGACCCAGAAGCAGACATAAAAGCCGCATATGTAAAAGTCCAGTAACATTTGACATAAAATAAAGCAAACTTACTCTTTCCATTTTCACACAGTTCTGCAAATTCTGGACTCTCCAGTTTGCATTTGGCTGATTTCTACCTGGATTACTTCCACTTCTGTCTTCAATGGAACTACAAAGGGGTTCAAATTGTCAGGGAATTGTGCCCATTCCAGTTTTGGTTTGTGGTTTCTTGCAGGAAGTCCTCTCTGGGGAATGGGATTTATGTCCCATTTAGGTCACGAGCAAGCTGAATTTGGAAGCTTTGCTTTGGGCTCAAGGCAGTGTGTGTGGGACGTCTGCTTCATAGAGCTACCATGCGCTTTAGACTAGGAACAATGGGGCTGAAAAGCCCATCATGGAAAAAAAAAAATCCTATATCTGTAAGCCCGTCTTCATTAACATCTCTCCATGTTCTAAGCCTAGCAGCTGCCAGATAACAGCAGGCCCTCAAATTCCTTCCATATATGAGACTGTCATTGACTAAACTGAGGAAGAGGACTCTCGAGTATTGGTCTGCTATCTTTCCTCTTGTTCTCACATTCAGAAAGGCAAAAGTAGTTGTCATTTCCCCACCATCACCGTACACAATATCAGTCTGTCCAGACCAGAATCAGAACTTCCTTGCCGATTTTTTAATTCAAAACTGCGTGGAAGCTTCAAAAGCATTCTCTGTTCTGGCTTAAAATAATCAGAATTCAACCACCTTGATACCTGGATACTTCATAGTTTTCTGCTTCTCCCATATCTCCTCTGACCTCAACACTGGTAACACAGTACATGCCACATTTGAAACATACTTGCTTTACAGCTGCACCTATAAGTTGGCTGCCTCAACTAAAATCACGATAGATCCTACCTTAACAGAAGGCACAGATCATATTCAGGTAATACTCCCATTGAAAGCAGAAAGGAATTTTGTCTAATTCCAGAAAGCAAAACAAGGCTTTCATAAGTGCATGTTTAAGTCAGTTGGTGTTTGACAGTATTCTGTGTCTTTTTTGCGGTAAAGGTGTAAGGGTAATGTGAATCTCAACTTGAAACGCGCTAACAGTTGCTGCAACATCCTTTATGCAAGGCACATTCACCCTCCATTCAGCGATGTGAACCTTTGTATAATATTTCCTTCCAAACAGTGCAAAAGGCGCTTTGAAGAAACCTCTGCAGTACCCATGAGGGAAACCGATGTCAGAGCCATCATTTTTAGCTTCCTACCTTGCTGCAGCAGTTCCTTGAATCACTTCAGAACGAAACTCCAGTGGTCAGGTCAGAGAAATTCTTACCATGGGCTATCAGTTCACAGATGAGACAGAAAAGAAAAGAGGAGTTTTATCACTGTGTAAAAATTACTATCAGCCCACTGTTGTGTAATTCTGGACAGTACAGGATCCTAAGGAAATTTCAGCTACTTCATACTGGTAGCTGATGGAGACCACAGAAGAGGGTTGACAGAAATGAATCGGTAGTACTGTGTTAGGATGTCTAGATTAAAAGGCTCAAGAGCTGTTGAGTCTATGTATCTGTAGTAGCAAAAAATGTATTCCAATTTTTTCAGGAAACAGTCATTTAAAAGACCCCTCCTACAGTAAGGCTGTCATCTTTGGGAGTACTTTTCAGAGGCATAACTAATTTATGCCATAACTTTTTATGAGCAAGGCTTAGTGCAAGTTTTTTATGTACAGTTGTATACACCAAAAACTGGATGATTGTGCTGTATATTTTATAAGGGCTTCAGTTTCAAGTCAGAACATGGCCTTGGGTGTCACAGTGGCAGCTGGGGTGTGCTAAGCCCTTTAGCAAGTTTGGCCCTGCCTGCATATTGTCCACTTTGCATTATAAGTATCAGCCTGCAAAGCTAGAATAGCTCCCTGTGAGGCTTGTTGATATATCCCTTCCACAGATGAAACACAATAGTCTCCTGTTCTCTCACACCCATCTGCCATGAGTTCACAGTTGCCCCTCAGTCTCAATATAAAAGCATCTCTCCAGGAGTTAAATAATGTTCTATGATAGGTGCTGATAGTTTTTAAATTGCTCTGAAATTAAAAGAAGGGCTCCCCAGCATTTGGGAAAGAATGTGCTCAGTGCAGTTATTTTCTTCACTTAACAACAAATGCATACAGAAATTTAGATTTTTGTTAGATTCTGTAGAGTTGTATATTGTGTGAGGAGTTAGATTATATGTGCATAAGATCTGATTATATTCTCACATAAAGTGAGCTTCACTGCTATCATCCCCTTTGTGTACAAAGCTAATAGAAAAAATGTCAAAGATAATTTGGGAGGAGAGAATTTCATGCTGCTTCTTGTAGAAAATCTCTCATTGTGAATGAAGGAGCGAAACTGGTCGTGCCATGTTAAGATTAAATTTAGGTGACCGTGCCATCACTTCTTTATCCTTATTCTATCAATGGCTACAGCAGAGGCAATAAAAACCTGCTCAAGATGCACTGTAGTAAATTTTAGATGGAACTGACTTTTTAGAAATAGTCAAAAGATGGCTAGTAAAGAGAGACACTTACCAAATTCACCAAGGGACCACCTGAACTTCCATACCGCAAAAAGAGTATTAATCTTATTAGAAACCTGATTCGCCAGAGTCTGGGGCTAGTCTTTGATCAGAGACAGCATCCCCAAACAGCGAGTGCTGAGAGGTTTGCAGGACGTAAGGGAATACAGGCAAGCATGACACTCCTCCATTAGAGGGGCACAAAGCAGATCCCGCTCCTTTGCTCATGAGCCACACCAGCCCTCAGTGACAGGCAGAGACAAGTTTGTGGTTACTGTGGAGCCACTTGTGTCACAGCAGTTCAAACTAAGCCATAAACCCTCTCCTTGTTGTTAGGCCAGCGTGGCTGGTTCTCTCTCTATTTCAGAAGCTTAATTATAGCAAGAAGAGCTAAGACCAGACACTTCCTGGATGCCACTTCCCTGTGCAGTATTGCTGCGATTGCTGCGTGGACTTGAATGCAAAGAGGCAAGGCGCCCATGAGACAATTGCTACTAATTACAGAGTGGATCACACAGCCTGAACCTGGGAATTTCTGGGGCATCACTCTTTAGGCAGCGAGGAATCCCACTTAAATCTGACCGAAGAACCCTGTGCTGCCTGTGGTTCCCAAGCCCTCAGGGAAAGCGTCTGGAGTTTGATCTTACATTGATAGCAACATCTGTCTGAGCATACTCCACATCTGAGACCTTCAGGCCGAGCTCCTTACCACCCTCACTGTGTGCTCCTCCCAATGCCCATCATTATGGTGTT